ATAATTGATTTGCAACTATTATGTATTTATATGTGTAGTAGACAGTACTAGCTCAAGCTCCTCTACTGCTAGTATCAGTCAAACCAGGAGAGAGACTGAAGAAGGTATGGTTGATATTAACATAATAACACACTAATCACTGAATTTGTATCATTAATAGGTACATTTAGATCTAATATTGCTCATAGAGTAATGACAGAATGTACTGGAATCATAAAAGAGAACCTCGACCTAAGTACATGTTCACTGGTAGATAGCCTGCTTGAGAAGAGGATAATAAACGAAAAGCAAAAGAATCAAATTACTGATCAGCACTGTGGATTGAATGCTGATCAGAGAATGGACAAGTTACTTAGTTTAGTTAAAGCATCCATTCAAGTGAATGGCCAAGTATTTCATTTGTTTATAGAAATAATTAAACAAGAGAATACAATAATAACTGATAGAATAGCACAAACACTATTAGATGATTATAAAAGATTATTATAATTTTTATTTGTGTCATTTTAAAGATAGACGCTTAATTTTCTACACATCAAAATTCTTTTGTTGCTTTTGTTGCTTATTAATTTGTGTTGTTGATTTTGTCAGAGCAATTGCTTTTAAAGATTACAATACAGGACAAAATAAAAGAAAAAATATCTCTTCGTGGATGTACATGTACAGTTGTCATAGCAACAGTCATTTTCCTCAGCAACACTACTGATCTAGTTGTTCAAAAATTCATAATAATTATCAACTAAAAAGCACTTTGTATCTGCTAATTTTAACTCCAATCACTTTTGTCACTCATTCATTCACTTATACTGTATGCAGTTATATTTTGCTTATGATAATTTTTCTATGCTTTTATGAAATATCTAAGCCAGCATTGCGTCAGTGTGTTTAGTCTTTACTGTCAAAATGTTTATGTTTGATTATGTAATTTACAAAGAACAAGAATGTAGAGGAGTGAAGGATATTTATAGCTCACTACCTATTAGACATGTTAGTTAATGCTTCCTTTTTGAAAAGCATCTCTTTTACTATCAAGAGGCTTGATAATGGCAGCACAAGCAGGGGATTCATGTGAAATAATAGTCAATGATGAAGCAGTTGCTCAT